CCTGCTGGCCCCGTCCCATTACTACCTGTTGCCCCCTGCTGGCCCCGTCCCATTACTACCTGTTGCCCCCTGCTGGCCCCGTCCCATTACTACCTGTTGCCCCCTGCTGGCCCCGGCCCGGAACTACCTGTTGCCCCCTGCTGGCCCCGTCCCATTACTACCTGTTGCCCCCTGCTGGCCCCGTCCCATTACTACCTGTTGCCCCCTGCTGGCCCCGTCCCATTACTACCTGTTGCCCCCTGCTGGCCCCGTCCCGTAACTACCTGTTGCCCCCTGCTGGCCCCGTCCCGTAACTACCTGTTGCCCCCTGCTGCCCCCGTCCCATTACCCCCTGTTGCCCTCTGCTGGCCCCGTCCCATTACTACCTGTTGCCCCCTGCTGGCCCCGTCCCGTAAGTACCTGTTGCCCCCTGCTGGCCCCGTCCCATTACCACCTGTTGCCCCCTGCTGAATCCCGTCCCATTACCCCCCGTTGCCCCCTGCTGGCCCACCCTGTAATTACCTGCTGTGTTTTTTCTGCAGTTCTTTGTGGCTCACAGCTCAGCGGCGGACAAAGGGACGATCTACAGAGGTGAGACTCATTCAGGCCTTTGATCCCTTATGACTCTGTTTGGAAGAAAACTAGTTGCTGTTTAATCTGTTAAATCGAAAACGGTGAATAAAGATTTTTGATGAGCGCTATGGTTGATCACTGAAGCAGGAAGAAGAGCTGTTTAGAACGCTTTAGCATCCAGCTTCAGCTTAGTTTAACTAGCATTTAACATTCTAGAAAACTGGACATAATTTCAGGATTATCATCACTGAGTGGCAGGAAGGGTGAGGAAAATACAAGCAGACAAGCTCAGTATCATCAACCGGATCAAAGTCTCACAGTTGAATCCATGCTAGCATATCCCTGACCAGAGCGTACCGCGAAACGGACCGGACCCGGAGCGTACGCCGGCGTACCGTGGACTGTAGCCGGAGCGTTCCCCGGACCGGACCAGAGCGTACCGCAGAGCACAGTTGGATTGGTTTTAATTCTGATCCAATCCCAAATTTTCTCCCAGGATGTTTTTCCTCAGAGGGATGATGGTTCCGACCCGGTTAAACATCCAGAACCTTCTGGGCTTAACGAGTTTGGTTCTGTCTCCCTCTGCTGGAGGACTTCCTAGTTTCTGTCCAATCAGAGGAGGGAGACACGCCCATTCTCTTTCCCTCCCAGTGGCTTTGGTTCTGATTGGCTCTGGACAAACTCGACAAAGAAGTTCTGTTGAACCCGTCCAATTGGGTCAGTGGCTCTTCCCACACCCCGGTAAAGGAGGGAATCGCTATGGAAACCACTTTGTTGCTGAAGTCCGGTTGGTCGGGTTCTTGTTGTCAGAACCGGTTCTGTGTCCCTCCAGGAGCTGACCGGGAGGTCCGGTCCGTCCGGCAGCTGATGGTCAACATCCTGCAGAACCACAGCAGAACAGAACGGCCCCAGAGCTGCCCTCCGCTGGAGCCCTACAGGTACCAGAACCGGACCTCTGGCCTGCTTCACTCGCTTCACTGCTAACCTCTCTCTCTGTCCAGCGCTGCTCAGCTGCTGCCCCTGCTGGGTCAAAGGTCGGACCACTACACGGCCATCATCGTGGAGGAGGCGGGGTCGTTTGTTGGCCGGGAGGTGAGGAAGAGAAAAAGGAGGAAGATCTGAGCTGCTTCCTGTTTCCTGGTTCAACCTGCAGGCAGGAAGCAACTTCTTGTGGTTCCTCCTGACCTCTGACCTCATCCTGCGTTCAGGTGATCCTGGACCTGCTACAGTTCTCAGGCGTTGAAGTGAGGAGAGCTCTGGCCTCTGACCTCCCCCTGCTGGACGTCCTTAACATGGCCGCCTTCCCCTCCGTTTACCTGCTGCACCCCAACGGCTCGCATGCCCCTCTGCACAGGTGAGAGAGGGAGGCTGAATTGTGGGCCAACCTTTGACTTGTTGCTCCCAGAGCTTCTCTAAACTAGCAGTTAGGACTGACATGAATGTGTCTGGAGCTGGCGTGACCTCTAGCATGCGTGACCTCCAGCGTGACCTCTAGCATGACCTCTAGCATGCGTGACCTCTAGCGTGCGTGACCTCTAGCGTGCGTGACCTCTAGCGTGTGTGACCTCCAGCATGACCTCCAGTGTGACCTCTAGCTTGAACTCCAGCGTGACATCTAGCGTGACCTCCAGCATGACCTCCAGTGTGACCTCTAGCGTGACATCTAGCGTGACCTCCAGTGTGACCTCTAGCGTGAACTCCAACGTGACCTCCGGCGTGACATCTAGCATGACCTCCAGTTTGACCTCTAGCGTGACCTCCAGCGTGACATCTAGCGTGACCTCCAGCGTGACCTCTAGCATGACCTCCAGCATGTGTGACATCTAGCATGACCTCCAGTTTGACCTCTAGCGTGACCTCTAGCGTGACCTCCAGCGTGACCTCCAGCGTGACATCTAGCGTGACCTCCAGC